TGCTAGCAGGTGCTGGATGCCAGCCGGAATCTCTGCAAGTGTGTACAGATGTACGGTGCGCTCGCGCTCTGCTGTACCTCACCTCTGCATCTGACAAACTCAGATGCTGTGAGCTACAGTCCAGCTGAGAGAAGTAACTCCTCGCCTAACCCCCCTGCGCAGCCCTATTTATACTCTGCTGCCCTTTATGACCTGTCACTGTCACAAGCCCCTTTGTTCCCACCCCTCAGTCAAGCCCTCAGGGCAGGGCCGCCATCCTCCCCGCCAAACATCCCACTGCCCCACAGAGGACAGACCCATCCTGCCCTGTCCTGAGGTGGGTACCAAGGTAGAAATGTCTTCAACAGGGAAAATTGGGTGGATGCTTTCTTTTCCAGCCCCAAATGAAAAAGATACAGCAAATGGAAACAGTCTATAGTCACGTAAGATGATGGGTGAGGATGGAACCATCAAACAACCCAGTCTTGGTCCTTAGCCAGTCCTTTCAAAAAGTCTCAGTAAATGATGATATTGACTTTTATTTAATAATACATTACAAATTGCTTTCCTGAGGTGCTGTGTTATGTTCTTCACATACGATCATGAGAATCCACTGTGTTTGATATTGTAGCTACCATCCCATGTTATAGGTGAAGAAACTGAGGTTTTGTCCGTTGCCTAAATTCACAGTGGTGGTGGTGGTAGTGGAGGCAGTATTTGAGGGCAGGTCTAAAGCCTTTGTTCTGAACCACTGTAGTACTTTGCTTACCGAGAAAGCCCGGGCCATCCAAATGTTTCCAAACTGGACTGATTTAACTACCGTGAAGAGTATCAAATCACTGCAATACAGAACTTGTATAATGCTATGTGCATATATATGTCATGGAGAGAATCCAGGACGTCCACTCCAGACAGTGGCTGGGAGGAACTGGGGATTAAATTCTCCAGGGTCATCTCAGGTCTTTCATTAGCCTGTATATGGAACCTATGTATTCTTTTAAGACCCCTCCATATTCTTCCCTCCTCCCCCACTGAAATGAGGTGGGGAGGAAATAAACGTGAGCTGTAAGCTTCCATTCCAGGAGCCTGCCAAATGCCCCCCAGAAGAAGTGGTTTGGAAACCTTGACACCTTTGGGGTCCTTACTGCTGTCCCATAGAGCTAGTCAGAGAACATGTGATTTCTAATTTGTTACTTGACAGATCTGAGAAAGACTTCTGCTCTCAACTCCCTCACCTTCCAGTTTGATGTTATGCCTGAAATCCCACCTTACAGATTCATTCCTTGATGGTAAAGGCTATCTTGCTGTGAAAATACACGCACCTGTCCATTCACAAATGGATAGATAAACAAAATGGGGTGTATTCACATAGTACAATGTTACCCAGCCATAAAAAGAAACGAAGTACTGACATATGTTGTAAAATGGATGAACCTTGAAAACATTATGCTGAGTGAAAGAAGCAGATACAAAAAGCCACATATTGTATGATTCCACTTATATGACATACACAACGGAGGCAAATCCATAGAGACAGATATGAGACTGGTGGTCGCCTAGGACTAGAGGAGGGCAGAATGGGGGATGACTGCTTAATAGGTACAGAATTTCCTTTTAGGGGTTGAAAAATCCTGGAACTAGTTAGTGGTGATGGTTATCCAGTATTGTGAAAATGCTGAGGGACACTTGAGTTGTATACTCTGAAATGGTTACAAAGGTAGATTCATGTTAATGTGTATTTTATCACACACACCCGCATATACACAGTCTGGCTCAGAATGCTTATAGTTAAAAAGCATAGGTTCCTTCTTGTGGCTTCTGGCCCTGGGTCTGCTCCCAGCCGCCTCCAGTTCCTGGCTGTACTCTTTATGATGGTCCCCTGGTTTGTGGGGTATCTTGTTCCACCTGCCTTGGAAATGTGCTGCTTCGGGGCACATAGAAGTTTCAAATCCAGAACCCCTGTCCTGGACCAAAACCCTTTAAAGCTCTCTCTCTGAGCAGTGCCAAGCCAGACCTCAGGGAAAGGCAAGGGGACAAGGCTGAGGGCAGGAGAGAGGAGGGAGCGCAGGCTCTCCATGCCCTGTGTGACGTCACAGCCCAGCAGGAGGCATCCCGGTGGAAACCATTGTCAGATTGGGGTCTGGTAGGGGCCCCGTCCAAGTTTGTTCCCCCAGAGCCCCCAGCCTTCCCTTTCCACTGAATGTGAAACGAGGTGAGCTAAACAATTTGATGGTACATACATATTCATCCTTTTTTAAAAAAAATTAAAGTATCAAAACACAAACTTGGCCACAGAAAATGAAACTTTTTAATACATTTGTTAAAGGAACATACACTTCCATTGACATACACAGCACCTTTCTCAGATCAGTTTTTCTTGCCAGAATCACCACCCACTTTCTTCCTCTCCAATCCTTTGTCGTCCCTGGCAGCTTAAATATTTCCTTGAGTTTCGTAAGGGCTGAGTGTGGCACCTATACCCACAACCAGAGGGTAAATGTAAGGATTTATTTCCCCTGCACTGAGAAAGGGAAACATCTCCAGAAAGAAGTGGTGAATGGTACTTCCGCCTGATGACTCTTTACTGATCAGGAACTACCCCTGATGTGCAATTAAAAGAAACATAATTAAGAAGACTGTGTTACGGGGGATCGTTTAAAGGAACCATACATGAGTTAAAAGGACCAGGCACCAGTCCTGTGCATGAATCTTAACATTTAATCAAGCCAGTGTCCCTCTGTAGGACACCAGTAGCAGCGTAACCAATTTTTATTCTAGCCTACATATTCTAGTGTTACGTATGTGCACAGGGCAAAGAGCAAGGGAATCTGGTTGTTCCTGACATAAGGAACTGAGTGTTGTGGAGAGAACAGAAAACTGGGTGGAGTACCTTTCTCTGAATCATCATACCTATCCAGTCTAAAATTACTCCCTCATTCCTCCCCATCATCCCTGTTTTTTCCTGACATTTAAAATACATATTTGCAATGAGACACATGTTTGAACCTTATAACAAATGTAATTCCAGTAACACTTGAAGTTCTGTGGCAGAATGTAAGGTGTCCGTGGCTCAAGTCGAACAACAGGTGTATGTTTTAGGCATTTGTACATTCAGAGACATTGATAGTTTTATTTAGCAATTCAGATTTTCTATCAAAATTTGATCTTAACTCCAAGCAGTTGGTCAAAAGGATATACTGGGTGCTTGTTCCAGGGTTTGTCAGTGAGAAAGGAAGTATCAGATGCCAGAGATTGAGGACTAGGATTGAAAGTCAACTCTCCCACCTAATGGCACCCCAGAGGACAAAGGACACCTGCAGAGTATTTAAAGCTAAACAATCCCCTCCCTTCCCCCACCACACAGAGAGGAAAGGGGTAGGGGGTGACGAGATCTCAACAACCCACCAATGCAAAAGAACAGAAACCAGCGTAACACTTCAGTTTACCACGTCTTTGGTTCCAATATTTATTACATTGACAAGGTTAGAAAGACTAGGATAAATAAGTAGTATTTCCTCTTACAGAAAATTGTGATGATACTATCGAGGAAGATTAAACACTCTGAGGATTTCACAGAAACATCAGAATTGAGACAGTAGCCAGAGTCCTTGTGGCCAGTGTGAATGACCTCTCACAGCTGGAAACGCTCTCGGCCAGGTTTCCACAGACAGCCGCATGATGAAAACAATACCATTCATATCCAATAATGCTAAAGCCTAGGTCTCACCTGGCTTCCAACAGGTGTCCCTGAATGTGGTTTTCAAACTACAAGAAAAGGAACACGGAATACTCTTTGGCTCTCCCGGCACAGAAGGAACTTCTCACCTGTCACTGAGCAGGGAGTTGTAACCCTTTGGAAGTTAGACTTTCTTCTTGCTTTTTTCCTGTGACATAACTGACTATAACACAGGACCTTCACTCACACCCGTGAATTCTGTGTTAATGCCTAGGTGCTGAGGGAAAGGAGACCTTCTCTGTTGGCACAAAACTGCACTGCTGACCAGCAGACTTCTGTTCTCCCTGGGCTGCCAGGCTCTTCCGGCCGCCTGAACGTTTTGTAAGACACTGCCCATGGTGACAGCCTGCCCAGACTCTCAGAAACCACATCTGAGGAACGTCATGGAAAGGCCGCCCCAGTGTTGTGTGAGGCAAACACCAGAAGAGCACAATGCCTACTTTTGAAACAAATGCCTTGCACACAGTAATTCCTGTACGTAACACCACATTTGCTAGAAAGCACAACCCTGGCCATCATACAACTTCGCTAAATGCCATTCTCACTCCACGTCCCCTACAAGTGACAGTGGCAGCTGAGGAGGTGGCCCCACCCCACCCACCCAAGGTACAGATACTTCTGCATGAATCCTTTCTGCATGAATCCTAATGGTGGGAGTCCTGGGTTTTGTAAAATCCAGATGAAAGCAGGCAGGACCCCAACCAGGGGCCATCTGGAGAATCCAAGAATAGCCAGTATGATAAGGCCTACATCCTGGAGTTGGGGCAAAAGATGCCCTTGCCCTGGTCCAAAGTCCACTCTGGGGCAGAGTGGACAGGCCCAGCTAAGTCACCGAGGGCTGTCTCCCACACCGATGGTTCTTTGCCGCTGAGATTCGAAGTGCACAGGAAGTCAGATCTCCAAAGGCTTCAGGGTTTTGGATGTAAAAGGATTCAGTGAGGACTCTCCAGTTGCCCCCATACATTCCATGGCTGCTTAGCTGTGCAATGTTCCTTCCTTTATCTGTTGGATAAAAAGGTTTCTTTCATCTTCTGGAGTCCGCCCGTTCTGAGCCCGGACAATACATGTGGGCCGATGAAGGTTGAGCATGTATATCAAATGCTGTTTCTCGTTCTTGAGCTCCTCAATTTGGGCCTTCAGTTCAGCATTCACACTCTCCAGCTTCTCGGACTCCTGGGGGACAAGCAACAGAATCATGAGGAAAGGAGTGAAGGTCCAGTGAGGAGAGGTGGCTGGGGGGTGGCCCCTGGGACACATGAGGGCTCATCAAGCTGGGAACGGCCTGCCAAGGGTATCCTGTCATGCCCCTGCTACAGTGCGCCACAAAGCTGGGACAACAGTGCTCAGTCTGGAAGAATCCAGACCCAGGAGAAGCCTTTGAACTTGGAAACTTCTTCGGAGATGCCCTTGAGTTTCCACTAAGGTCGAGGCAGGTTTTGGGTCTAATAGTAATGACACTGTAGCAGAACCAACAGCTCAGAGGGCCCGGGGGGCTGGGGAGAAATCCAGACTCATGGTTCTTAGTCTGTGCATCACTGATTTCACGGAGAAGTTCACCTTCCCAGAAAGGATGTATGTGGCAACATGAAATGTCTTAATTGTCACTGACTCCCTGGAGCAATCAGCAGAACCCTTGGGGACCTGTGGAACCTGAGTGAAGCCTCTGTGCTGGCCTGTCCACACCCGGGGGGAGGGCGCACAGTTGCTGGAAGGACTGCACACCGGCCCCGGCCAGAGCTGAGAAGGGCTGCAGACTGAGGAACTAGACAGGAATGCAAAGAAAGTGTAACCACTGCGTGTGGATTAAGGAAATAACTTGTTTAAAGAGATTAATTAAAGGCTTTTCATAGTGAGCCAAATGAGAGCTGGCAGCTTCCTTTTCTCAGGAAAAAAGGCAAGTGAAACCTCTTTGACTGATCTACCTGCAGCCTGCAAGCTGCCGAACATGTGCGGACCAGCTGAGGCTGCTGGGAATCTGGGCGTTCAAAAATCCAGTGGTTTTAAATCCACACACCTGCTTTGCAAACGTCCAGAGTCCCATGCATTGTGCTCATAGTTTTGTTACACCCTGTTCAGCAACTGGCATTTCTGCCACAGCTACAATGCCCTTCTTGGGAAACTACTTCTGGGCGGCAGACTTTTTCACTCCCTTCTGACAGCAACATGAGGTCTGGGGGGAGCCAGAGGGCGCAGAGGAAGGGGTGAGATGAGAGGGCACTCACCTTCTGTAGGCACTCCGTCTTCTCCTTCTTCTTGTTTCGACACTTGGCGGCAGCGATCTTATTCCTTTCCCGTCTCCTCTTTTTCCTTTCATCTTCTTCAGGGGCTACCTATAAAATTCAAGAGACGCACACTTAACGCGAGGCCAGAAATGCAGCCCACCTCAAATGCACTGCCTTTTCTTGCCAGCAAAATCTGGGAAGCCAGGGCAGCCCACGTTTCTTTATTTATTTACAAAATAAAGCCCTGGACTCTGGCATGAAACCTACACACATACATACTTAAAAATGAATAAGGAAAATCAAAGAACCGTTAACTAAAATCACATTGGCAATATTAGTAAATTAAAATGTAGCCTATTTAAAAATGCATTTGGATTGTGAAATAGGAGTTGGATATTCAAATTGATAATGACTGGCAACAACTGTGATCTTTTAGATCAGGATTCTGATTGGTAAGTATGTCCTTTCCCCTAGAACCATGAATGACCTCAGGAACATCCCCTAGCCACCCTTTCCCCCACCTCTTCTTTGATTCAAGTCCCACCTGTCTTCACCTGGAGCATCTTAGTGCCCCCATCCTGAGTTCAGAGAAGCCGTGGAGCTGCTGGAGAAGGGGGAGCCCAAGCCAATTTGCCCAACCCAAGTGCATTATCACGCCATGGCCTGGTGCCACCGGTGGGCAGTGAACTAGAACTATCCATTGATTCATCCAACACATAAATAAATACTTATCTCTTCTGTCCCCACCCTCCCACCCCAGCCAGCCCTGGGGATCCTCAGAGAATAAAATCCTGTCCTGCTTTAGGTGCTTCTCCTTTACGCAAGTTCACTTTGATCCAGATGTTGTCTGAGGACTGATGGAGAATCAGCAAAGTCTGGCCGTGGGACTTGGCTTAGAGACTCCAGTCCAATGGGCTCAGAGGGGTGACGGCTTAGGCTGCTCATGTCAGACCTCATCATGCCACTTGTCCCTGCACTGGACAGGGGGGGAGAGGGCATGGGAGCCACACCTCAAACCACAGAGATCCTGAGATGCCGTATCACCTCACATCTGACACTGCTAGTCCTCGGGATTTTGACACTGGCTTTGCTCGGACTGAGATGCAAGACCTCACAATTTAAAGAAACAAAGTCCAAGGGGGAAATGGAGCAAGAGGAATTTCCACCTTCCATATCCTGGATCCCAGAGTTACACAGGCAGACATTTGGGTTTAAACTAACCTGCCTTTCAATCCCAGCCTCACCACCTATTAGCTGGGAGGCCTTGGGCAAGTTACCATACTCTTGAGCCTCCGTTTCCTCATCTATGAAATGGAAGCAATAATCTTACCTACCTAGTAGGGCTGTGAGGAGGGTCAAATTACTTAATGTACGTAAAAAGCCTTGCCCAGTGTTTATTTAGCTCACAGCCAATGCTTTATAAGCCTTAGCTATTACCTTTAACCTGACTCTCTATGTCTTCATCAAGAAGGCACCAATGCTAGTGTTTCCTCTGCAACATGACAGTTTGGGGTAGGTGGCAGAGGAGTCAGGGTTTTCTTCTATGAGGAAGTACTTGAAAGTAGAACAAATCTCAAGAGTCACTTACTGTCAGAGACGGAAAAGGCTTTCCTAAGACCAGTTAGTCCAATCCCCTCACTTTACTGATGCGAAAATGAGGACAAAGTGGCTGTAATAATGTGTCTAGGGAGGCCCAGGGATCACCAGCTCATCATTACAAGACCAGGAGGCCTCAAAACCCAGATATAAACCCAGGTTTTCAGCTCCTCATCCTGTGTCCTCCCCCGGCCACAGTGGCCTCACTCTACCGTGTTGCCATCTCAGAGGTGACTGGGATCTGGGGGTGGACTCATGCTGCCCAAACGCACAGGATGCCTGTGGGTGTCCCGGGCTCAGCGTCTTATTTGAGGATGAGAATTCCAGCAACCAAGGGGACCAGAACATTCAGCCAGTTAGTCAGGGCATTCTCTTCCCACTGGCAAGTTCTGCTTATTAAACTGACCTAAGATCAGAACGTCACCTGGTGAACACAGAATCATATTAGGTGGGTTGGATGGCTTTAAGGACTATTTCCAGGAAGCAGGCTGCCTGCTGTCCCCTTTGGTGAACCCTCCAAATATCCCTGCAGAATGAATTCTTCCTTCTATAGGGATCCTACAAGATTCTTTGCATTCTGTTATTTCAAGATCCTTATTTAGAAAATGTAAAAAAAAAGTCCTTGGGAGTCCCATGGTCCACCTTGCACTGTCCAGCACTGGACTAGGCACCAGTGACCTCTTGAGGTTAACTGGGGTCCAGCCTATGCCCTAATGATGCCCTGTGGCTACAGCACCACACCGAAGTCCCAGCTACCATTCACTGAATGCTAACCACAAGCGAGGCCCCTCACAGATGCCATCACCTTCAAGCTTCCATCAGTCCAGTGCAAGAGTCATTATCATCCCATCCCCCTTTTATGGAATCACAAAGATTCTCAACCAACTTCCTTTTAAGCTCAGTTCTTTTTGGGCAAGTCCCATCTCCCCCTGACCAAAGGCAGTGATCATGCCAGTTAAATAAGCCCCAAACACTCTTATCTCGCATCTGTGAGGGCAAGACCAACGGGAGAGTAGAGACCATCACCAGCGACCACCTCTCAGACCTCTACCGTGTCTTTTACTCCAGGTGTTTTATAAAAGGCTGCTGAGTAGGAAACAGTGAAAGTGTCAGACACAGAAATGAACTTGGAGCAGAACATGGTGCCAAGACTGTGAGCATCACACATGGCTGTGCGTGTGGCTGGCTGGTCCTTGCTCCAAGTCTGGCCACCTGGGTCCCTGTAAAGATGAAAATCACCATGCTCCATACAGCCCCCCACCTACAGCATGCCTGGCACATGGTAGGGATGCAATAAACAAGGACTGAAAGAACGGGCCCTCTGGTAGGACCTACCTCGGCTTTCGTGACTGACATCTCGAGGGGTCTGCCGCTGACAGTGACTGACTCCAGTGCTGAGGACATCCGGTGGCAGAGGTGCTTGTTCTGGATGGCGAATCTCAGCTCTTCCTTGACAAAGGGTGTCAGGTTAGCAAAATCCTCAAACACCAGTGACCCAGGAGGGGACAGGCAGGGGACGATGGCAGAGGCACTGACTTCCGAGGCAGAGACCTGGCCTGGGTGTTGAAGCATCATTTTGCTGAAAGACACATGGAAACCCAAACTACTTCAGGGATTTGGGGGCGTGGGGTCAAGCACCCTCCTCCGCCCCCTACCACACTTGTGACCTCCAACACCAGAGCCCCACCCTCAGAGATAAGTCCCATAAGCTTTCGGTTTTGTTTTCATTGCATCCGCATCTTGAGGAAAAGGTTCTTAAAATACATAGCTCAGTGATGAGGAAAAAATGCTTAACTGAAAATTATAAGGGGTGGCGTTTCAGGCTATTCTCAACTCATAAGAGCTATTAATTTTGGCGTGTGTGCATATATGCAAATGTAGCCTCACATGATCCTGAAAGAGGAAGAACATTTTTTAAAAATCAGCAAGACTATTATGTGACCCCATTTTCGGTCTCATTTTCAAAAAGAAACTTAGAAGGCGTCTGAAATCAAATTGAATCAGTGAGGAGAAGTAAAAGGAGCAAAATTTAGCAAATACATCTCTGAAGCTTCTCCCTTGGGTAGCTGGATCCAAGTGAGTGAGAAAAGGATGGTAACCATGGCTGGTGTGTTTCTTCGCCCTGGCCTGGCATGGGATTCAGATCCCATGCGACTAGCAGCCCCTTCTTAAGGTGAGGGTCAGTGCAGCCAAAGATCTCAGAGCAAAGAAAAGTCAGGAGCTAAGAATCTGGACCTCTTCGGTGGGGGTTGTTCAGCCCTGCGCTATCTGGAAAAGCTTGGGCTGGGGGCACAGGAGGACATGGGACTGGCTCTGTCATTAAGGAGTTATGTGACATGAGCTCTCTCTCTCTGAGACTCAGTCTTCGTGTGGCAAATGGCTGAGAGTGCCTACAGCCAGGGGACTGAGTCCCCGCCATTGCTCTATCCAGCGCCTGTTACGGGCCGTTTCCAATGACTCCTGACTGCTGGAGACTGCCTGACTGAATACGTGAAATGGGTAGGGGGTGTCCAAATCAAATAGCCTCCGAGGTCCCATCTACTTCTATCATTCTCGAGCCCAGGGAGCCCAAAGAGACAAAAAAGGAAAAGAAAGGGTAGCAACATTAATAGCATCAGGGTTCCGATCTGGAACGGCCCCCATAAACCTCTCCCTGCTGCATACTCCCTCCACCAGTGGCTTTCCCCTCATCCCTGCAGTCAGTTCTCCAGGGGTGATGTGTGTGGGGACTGCCTAGGCCCGTGGTCCCCTGGAGCATCCTTCTCAATCTGGGGACTTGCAGCCATTAGCCAAGTCCAGCCGGACAAGGGGCCCTTTGGCAAATGGCTGACATTTAACAAGTTTCTCCTTCACACCAGAAACCCTACGTGTACTATCTCTTTTAACCCTCGTGAGAACACAGTGAGTTAGGTCCTAGGCTTTACTTTGTAGATGAGGTAGCTGAGGATTAGACAAACTAAATAATCTGCCTAATGTTAGAGTTAATCTGAGACAGCATCAGGATTTGGAATTAAGTTGGAATCCAAAACTCATGCTTTTAATTTATAGAATATAGATAGATTATTCTATGTTGCAGAAGCAAACAACTGGAGCAAATTTTTCTTAGGAGGAGGGCAGGCATGGGGTGGGTGGGGGTCCTGGAGCCGAGGCAATGAAGGGGAGGCTAAGCAACGAGTCCTGGGGAAACTTCAACTCTATGTAACAAATTGCTGATCTTTTTGTCACGGTGCACACTCAGGCTGCTGCTCACCGACCAGGAGTATGTAGAAGTGTGTCTTTTACCCACAAAATCCCCAGACTGGGATCAGAAGATCAAGATTTGAGGCCCACTTATTCAATGTGTCACTGTCATACCTCCCAGTGCCTGCTTCCTCCACTAACAACATTCGTCCTGTTTTCCCTGAGTTGTGCAAGGAGTTGAGGAAATAATGCATGAATATGACCTGGAAAACAATATGCAACTAGAAGGTATATTATTACTGAGGTTCAGTGGGGAGGGTAGCTGGTCTCTCTCCTTGATCTCAAACACTTCTAAATAGAACAACCTGACCTCTAACCAACTCCCCCGTAATCTCGGAAATACACTGATGAAGGCGGGAATTCCAGGCCAAGAAATGCCACCATTAACTATTGAAAGAAACTCCAGAAATGTTTATCATTCTCTTCCCCAAATCTGGTGCTGTAAATCAGAACTGATGTTCTTCTATCAACTGATTAAGTTGATATAGGATTCTATAATCTTGGGATGCTGGGAAGGTCCTTCTCCAACAGGTGATAAACTCTGAGAAAGCCAGAGGCTAAGATTCTCCCATGCATTCAGGTTTTTACTCCCTTCCAACTTCATTCAAAACCCAGTATTCAGGGAGGGAATTCAGAGCTACCACTAGGCTGCCCTTTGTTTGTGGGACTGGATGGCTCCCTTCTACACGGGTAGTTTGAATTCCACTGCAGTTGAGTGTAGTTCCATTTCACCTCTCCACTAAGTTTATTAATGAGCCCTTGGGACTGGGGTCTGCTCTTTGAGATTGTTTTGTCCTTCTTAGTGGAAAGTCAGTGATCCTGATGAAGGAAACTGAAGTGTCAGTGGTATGGAATGTTTTTATTAAGAGCATTGGGTGGGCTTACTTAGGGATGGAAATGGCTTGTAAAAAGGTTAAAAGCTTTTCAGAAAGAAAAACAGTAGTATCCGCAGAGATCTGGGCTTTCTCTGCCTTTGCTAAAGCTTAGTTTCTCTAGATAACTTTCTAGGTATTCCTTTACTCATTTTCTTAAAGGTGTGATTCAGCCCCACCCAGGCTGTGTCCGTACAATGAAAATGAAATTAAATCCTCAGACAATTTTTCTGCAAACTGTGTAACTCCTTGCCAGTCCTCTAACATCTCTGTAACTGAAGAAAAAAAATGTGATTGGGGGATTTTTTTGAGTTGACTTCCTACATTGATCTTAAACTTGTCCAGACTTACTACAAAGACTTTCTACTTACATTTTGCTTTTGCTTCATTATTTCCAATCAGAAATCATGTCATATCACTGTTAGTTTCTTCATTTTCAAGAAAGTGAAACCTTACAGAATGTATTTCTTTAACTGTAAATTCAGCTCCCAGATTTTACTTCCTAGTAGCTTCAACTATGTTGAATTTTCACTTTTAATTTTCATCTCTTCCCCTAAGTACTGCTCGTAGAACATCTGACAGTAGGAAGCCAGTACCAGTCCTTCTCTCCTTCACGGTTGGCCTTTCTTCAGTCCACTTGATGGCTGTGAGTGTAAGGCTGTGTTTCAGGACCAGAGATGATGCTTCCAAGCCTATCACTACCACTCACAAGCTAAACACTGACAAACTCATAATTTCTGGGCCTCAGTCTCCTAGTCTGTAAAATGAGACCAGTACTACCTACCCAAATCCTTCACAGAGCTGTTAGAAAAATCGTTAAGAGAGCCCTGAAGGTGGATCTACACATGTACTTGAGTCGCCATTATTACTGTGATTCCACTTCTCCCATTTCAGGGGCAACTCATAACGTCAATACAATTTAGCCCTATTGATAAGGAATTAACTGGAACCCTCAAGAAATGCAGGTCAGCCACAGCTTTGCATTTTGATTGACCTCTAGGGTCCTGACACACCAGAGCAATTTCACCCCGCTATTTGCTGGTACCAGCTTGTCTCCCTTGGTCTGAAGTACTTGAGAAATAACCAGTTCTCACACATGAAACCAGTTCTGGTTTCTGTGGTGTCCTAGCTATGTACTTCCTCCTCCCTAGGCTGGTAACACTTGCAACCACTTACCCTGTTCCATGCCTAGACAGTCTGAAAGAGGAGGAAATCATGGATCCTATTCAGTGCCACAGAACACCCATTGGTAGCATCATCTAAGTCAGCTCTTCAATTGTAACTGCGTAAAGTGAGGTCCGGGAAGGTAAAGTGACTTCCTCAAGGCCATAAAGCTGCTGAGAGGCCCAGCCCAGGCCAAGCTGTTGACCTGGCACCCACTGCTCATTCTGCTCCATCACCAACAACAGGGAGCGAACGCCATGGGGATCAACCAACCAGACAAATGGAGACCAGAGCCACTGGCCAGGTAGATAAGGGGTCAGCAGTACCCACCACAGAGGAGAGACTTTGACAGGACAAAGACAGGAAGGGACTATAGAAGAAAGAATAATGGAGAGAGAGAGGGCCAACAGGGAGAAAGAGAAGGGTGGGGTTAAGACAGGAAGGCCGGGAAGGTTTGGAAGGCTCCAATAGCTGCCATGGGTGCTGGGAGCTGTACCTCATTCCACAGTGAGCCTGGAGTGCTACCTGCATGCTGGTTCCTCAACAGTCCAGACAGTAACAACTGCCAGACCCACTGCCCTGCCAGGATATCCTCCAAGCAGGAGCCTGTATGCTGTAGTATTATTTTACAACAAATGCTAAATACAAAACAAGGGGGACAGTAGAGACAGAGGCCCCAGACAGGTGTGACTGTCACCCACGCTGAAATAGGTGCATTGAGAGCCTAGATTTTCTAGCCTCCCTCTCCTTTTCTGGCTCCATCAAGGGTTTAGCAATTCCCCTATTTATAAAGGAAGCTTATGTGATCCAGGTAATGAAATTAGGGAAAGTGAGGAGATGAGATGAAAACAGGGTGTGGGGAAGCAGAGACGGAGAGCAAGCCGCTGGGAACTAAGCTGGGAAGGGAAGGGGTGCCCCACAGAGAAGTCCCTTCCTCCCATGGCCTCGGAAGCTGGTCAGTGACATTAGAGACCTCCCCCATTCAGGTCATTCAGGATCCCTCACCACCTCTTGTGCTCCAGTTACACCATTCTAGAACCTGAAAAGCTCCAGCCAGAAAGGATAACCGGTGGTTATCCGGTCCAAGCCCCATCTCATGAGAACCAGGCAGAAGGAGCCAGTAGTGCCTGTGTGGCCACGTCTCCCAACTGAGCATACTGAGGCTCAAGGACATCATGTGCCGCATAAGCCCTCAGGGTCCCTGGCCACCAGACCACGAAGAAACCATCCCCTCAGTATCTGAACTGGCTTCCACCCCGCGCCCGCGCTGGGTCTCTGTGGACGAAAAGCAGTAAAACGCGCGAACGCGCCGGAAGAAAAGCCAGAGCTAGAGTCACAGGTACGAAAGAAACGCCTGTGGGAGCCTTGGACGGGACGTCTCCGGCCCGGGGCCCGACACTGGCAGGTGCCGGCGCCGCCTCCGCCTTCCGCCCCAAGGCAGAGACGCGAGCGCTCACCTCCTCTCAACCTGTCCCGGCCAACTTTCGCTCCCGTCCCCCAGCGCTGCGTGCGGCCCCGCGCTCGGCGGTGCGCAGGGCGACCCCCAGCGGCGGCGCCCGCGTCCCCCGCTCGCCACTCCCTTCCCATTCATTCGGTTCGGCCCCCGGGCAGCCCTTCCGCGAGCACCCGGGCCCGGCGCTCTCCGCGGGCCTCGGTACGGCTGGGCTCGGAGCAGCAGCGCCGCGACACCAAGGGAGGCTGGAGCGGGCCGGCGAGCCGGACAGCCTCGGGATCCCGCGCGGCCCCCTCCCACGCCCGCTCCCGGTGGGGTCCGCAAGCGCGGCGGGCGAGCGCAGCAGTGCTCCCGGTCGGCTGAGAGGCGGGAGCCCCTCCGAGATCTCCGTCTCCGGGACACTTTGGCGCCCTAAGTCAAAAGAGAAAGTTCTTCGGGAGAAACTTTCCGAAGCGCTGAGGAGCAGCGTGGCTCGGAGAAGTTAGGGCAGAGTTCTTTCGATGCTGGGGATGCGGTTGGGGTGGGCGTAGGGGTCGGGGGACTGGTTACTAGAGGGGCGCAAAGGGAATGAAAGCGAGCCACCCTCGCCGCGCTCACTCACTCGCTTCCAGCGCTCACCTCCTGTCTCCACTCCGGGCGGCCAGGGTCCAGAGGGCGGGCGGGGTGGGGTCAGGGCGGGCTGGCTGGCGGTGGGGCCGGCGGGTGAGCACCGGGGAGGACGCCCTGCCGGCGCGCAGGCGGGCGGCGCAGGCCAAGGGCTGTGCAGTGCGCCCCTCGCTGCGAGCGACTGTGGCTTGGAGTGCGTTGCATCACCCCTTTTATAGCCCTGGGGCTGGCGGCGCTCCCGTTCTACTCCGGGTTCCCAGTCCCGGGCTGACGTAATGCTATTAATAGCTTCCCCGGAGAACCGGCAGAACTAGGCTGGGATAGGGGAGGGGGTATGGAGGAGGGACCAGAACGGGAAGGGAGGAGGGGGGACTGGTGATGCAAGCTTGGGGAGGAGCCTGCTGGGGCGCCTTCTCCCGGCCTCGCAAGCTCGGACACACATCTTGCCCGCCCTCTTTCTCCATATCAGGACCGGAGCCGCCCGGGCGGGCCGCCAGATGTGCGTACTCGCCGCTGCGTGTTCCAGGCATGAGCCAATGGTGCCCAAGCCAGCGGCATGACTCCACCACGCTGGCATCTATCCCTCCGCTAGGTCGGGGGGTGGGGGGTGGGGGAGATGGAGGGGCGGGTCCTGGCCGCAGCCCAGACTAGGTGAGGCTGGGAAGCGGGCACGACCTTTCTCTAAAATGCGTGGTCATTTTCTGGAGTTCAGAGAAATATCCCCTCCCAGGCCAAACGCCTCCTTCTCTAGCAGGGAGGGGTGGGGTGGGGGCAGAAGCGTTAGTCTCCGGTGTGGGAGAGGTGCCCAAAGGCCCCCTACCGTGAACTCACACCGCTATGCGCCCGGGTTGTCCTCCGCGGCAGGGACCCCAGGAATTCGGAGGGTTCAGTCAGTCGCGGAGGGCACCGTGCGCCCGCAGCCCGGTACACTCCAGACAACCGCGCCGGCGGACCGCCTGCGGGCGGGTCGGGACCTCCTCTCCGAGACGAGGACTAGGGCTACGGTGTAGATTAGGATTTTTTAACCACAAAGCGTTTGAAATTGACAGGGAGATTCTCAGTGGAAAGAACGAGACTGTGGACGATGAGAGACCTGGAGAAATCAGAGGCAGCCCAGGGAGGGGCTTAGAGTGGAGCTGAGGCCGAGTGGCCGGGGAGAGGAGGAAAGGGGCGGCGTACGGGGCCCCTCGAGCTGGGCGGGGCAGGGGTCGCCCGGCTCTAAGGCAACATTTGGGGAAAACCGGCTAAAGCTTCCACGTGTTCTGCACGCAGAGCGGATTGCGCTGCGACAGGACGGCCGGGACTAGGGGCCCACTGACGGAGCCGAAATGAGTGGGCAGAGCAGAAATCCCTTCCGCCCTCAAGCCAGGGTGGCGGGAAAGACGGGGCCCTACGCCTCAGATTCGAAGCTGGACTCCGCACAACTAGATTTGAACCATAAAACCGATTTCCCGGTTCCAATTACCCGACCGCAGCTGTCTCGGCTTTGAGAGTGACAGAACCAGGGACCTCCTCAGCAGTTTAGGGACGAATATATGCGGACGCCAGTGTGGCCAGAGACGTTTCGAACCTGCCTGGGAAGGAGGCCCGCGCGCGCCCGTGGGGTGTGGGCTAGCGGCCGGGGGCAGAAACACCTGCTCCCACCTGCCGTTTGGGAGAGAGGCGATGAAGGTCATGCAGGTAATTTGGGGTAAGGGCTGAAAAGGTCACGGAGCTTGGGGCTCACCCGCAGCCCCACCCCACTGCACCTGCAGCCCTAGCTTGTTGCAGTCGGTTGGTGATGAAGGGTTTTCTCCCGCTCCTTGCCCCCACCCCCTCCTCGTTTACACACACAGTCCTGCACCCCCGTGGAATCTCTGGCCCTCTCCCTATCCCGATTGCCCACCAGCGTAGGCAGAGCCCCTCAAAACTTCAGGTCAAACTGAATCCCGGTCAAACTGAGTCCCGCATGCCCGGGTTCCTCTCCCCCAAACCCGAGCCTCACCCAGGACCCCCCACCCCAAGTTTCGGGCCCAGAACGACGCGGAAGGCAGGTCCCGGAGTTCCACGCGTGATCCTTGGGGATGTTGTCCTGGACCGGACGGGGTTTCCAGCGGCGGTGTCCCGCAGGACGCGTCGGACGGTTGTTTTTGCTTTACTTTTCGCCCTGGTAACGGCTCTCCCGTCTCCACGCGCACACCCCGCTCCACACCACCGCACCCCACCCTGCTGCGAATGCGGGGTAAACCCTAGGCGTGTTGGCGCAACCCCTAGAAGGCCGCCCGCCCAGGAGGAAGGGCGTTTGTAAATATAAATGAAAGTTCTTTGAGATTCTCCGCTCATCTTCTGCCCTGGAATAAACTGCATTATTATAAAGTGAAACAAGGAGATGGGAGAGGACCCGTGGAAGGTTTCAGGTTTTCTCTTTGAAATGTCTGCAGAAATCTTTAACCAGCTTACATTTTAAACGATTCCATTAGTGCACCCCAACCAGATTTGCGGAAGCTTCGTCCTGCCCTTGCGGGGAAATTCAATTTGGCGCAGCAGGGTAAACCAACAGGCCAGTCTTCACAGAACAATGTAAGAGAAAGGTAATTAAGACGGAGGAGTCCACAGCCCCCTGTCGGTTTATATTTATTACCATCATGCCTCCCGTTCCTCTTACTAGTCTTGTTTCATTCTAGTAATTCTTGGTTTTGAATCTCCCTGTCACACCTGGATAGAAATGTTGTCAGCTGTTCAGAGAAGTCTGAGCGTGGCATTCTGTTTCCCTTTCCCACTGAAACTCTAAAAGCGATAAGAATCTTGACAGAGAAGTTAAGTCCACCCCCTTGTGAATGAAACTCTTATCCAAGGAAAACAAAAACTGCTGCTGCCTCGCCTCCCTGCCCCCAGCCCCGGGAGGACTGTGACATGCCTGCCCAGACTGGGAAAGCGCAGTGGAAGAGCAGAACCCGGACGTGTGTGCGGCCGGAGGGGCGGCCAGTATCTGAGTCCTGCGCGTCCTCATTTCCTCGTTGTACCCTGACTTCAGTCAATGCCACCGATGTCCAGCGTGTACCCTCTGTACCATCTAGAGGCGGGGCAAGAAAAGCTTACCAGACCAAAATGCTTCTCTGCACAAAGGCAAAGAATGCCTTTCCCCCTGAGAAGGAAGCCCTGGCCAGGGTTACTTAAGGGGTTAATCCTCCAGGAAAGAGGGTTAAGCTGAGACTTGAATGTTGCTGAGGTTTCACGCTGGGGAACCGCCTGGGGAATCCACATTCAGACCAGCCTTGGTATGTTTTGCTGAGTGAGATAAGAATTGGGAAACTTCATGCTGGGGCATGTGCAAAAAAGAAGGGAAAAAAGTTAAAAGGGGAGGGGATGGAACTCCGCAGCTAAAAACAGACCCCTCGTGGCAACGGAATCTAAACACCAAAACATTGCAGTGAGCCAAAAGCAAAAAAAAAAAAAAAAAGTTTAAGAGATATATAAAGATTTTAGCAGTTTTTTAGTCCAGGGAACGGTCCCTTCCTTCTCCCTCCCCAAGCCCCATGACTCTTCTTCCAACCCTGACGCTGTATTTGCCCACAGAGCTTTAGAGAGGCAAATTAACGAGAAGTTAAAATGAGTCCAGGAAGCAGCAGGGTACTAGTAGTCCAATCCTGGCTCAACCCACTTCTTCAGCTCGGGAGGAGAGTGGGGTGGGTCTTTTCTGTTCTGTTTTGGAAAGCCCACACTTTCCCTAAAGTCCTTTTGAATTGTGGGGATTACTAATGTAAGCGTCTCCAGAGTGAAACTCCCCAGGAACTGCAGGAAAGCCTTGCATAGGAGGCTCTGAAGTGTGAAAGGCGGCACTTGGCTCAGTAGTCGGCACTGAGCAGCTGTCGCTGTGGACAAGTCATTTCACTCTCTGGGCTTAAGTTTCCTCAGCTGAAAAATGGCATGCATAGAGCAGCTGTCGCTGTGGACAAGTCATTTCACTCTCTGGGCTTAAGTTTCCTCAGCTGAAAAATGGCATGCATAATAGCACCTAACACATAATAATGTTGTTGGGAGGGTTCATTGAGGGTGGGGCCCAGTTCTCAGTTGTTGTCTCACTAATTAGGAATCAAGAAGGGTTTTCTGGGGCTACCCCTGATTCTCTCCCAGGGCTCTTTCTACCCCGTAGTCAGT